GAATTGCGTGATATAAAGTCGAAATTGCGAGATATAAAGTCAGAATTGATTGATATAAAGTCAGAATTGCGTGATATAAAGTCAGAATTGCGAGATATAAAGTCAGAATTGATTGATATAAAGTCGCAATTGCGTGATATAAAGTCAGAATTGATTGATATAAAGTCAGAATTGCGAGATATAAAGTCAGAATTGATTGATATAAAGTCAGAATTGCGTGATATAAAGTCGAAATTGCGAGATATAAAGTCAGAATTGATTGATATAACGTCGCAATTGCAGGTTATAAAGTCAGAATCGATTGATATAAAGTCGCAATTGCGTGATATAAAGTCAGAATTGATTGATATAAAGTCAGAATTGCGAGATATAAAGTCAGAATTGATTGATATAAAGTCAGAATTGCGTGATATAAAGTCGAAATTGCGAGATATAAAGTCAGAATTGATTGATATAAAGTCAGAATTGATTGATATAAAGTCACAATTGCGAGATATAAAGTCAGAATTGCGTGATATAAAGTCAGAATTGATTGATATAACGTCGCAATTGCAGGTTATAAAGTCAGAATTGATTGATATAAAGTCAGAATTGCGTGATATAAAGTCGAAATTGCGAGATATAAAGTCAGAATTGATTGATATAAAGTCAAAATTGATTGATATAAAGTCAGAATTGCGAGATATAAAGTCAGAATTGCGTGATATAAAGTCAGAATTGATTGATATAAAGTCAGAATTGATTGATATAAAGTCAGAATTGCGTGATATAAAGTCAGAATTGCGTGATATTAAGTCAGAATTGATTGATATAAAGTCAGAATTGCGTGATATAAAGTCAGAATTGATTAATATAAAGTCAGAATTGCGAGATATAAAGTCAGAATTGATTGATATAAAGTCAGAATTGCGTGATATAAAGTCGAAATTGCGAGATATAAAGTCAGAATTGATTGATATAAAGTCAGAATTGCGAGATATAAAGTCAGAATTGATTGATATAAAGTCAGAATTGCGTGATATAAAGTCGAAATTGCGAGATATAAAGTCAGAATTGATTGATATAAAGTCAAAATTGATTGATATAAAGTCAGAATTGCGAGATATAAAGTCAGAATTGCGTGATATAAAGTCAGAATTGATTGATATAAAGTCAGAATTGATTGATATAAAGTCAGAATTGATTGATATAAAGTCAGAATTGCGTGATATAAAGTCAGAATTGCGTGATATAAAGTCAGAATTGATTGATATAAAGTCAGAATTGATTGATATAAAGTCAGAATTGATTGATATAAAGTCAGAATTGATTGATATAAAGTCAGAATTGATTGATATAAAGTCAGAATTGCGTGATATAAAGTCAGAATTGCGTGATATAAAGTCAGAATTGATTGATATAAAGTCAGAATTGCGTGATATAAAGTCAGAATTGATTAATATAAAGTCAGAATTGCGAGATATAAAGTCAGAATTGATTGATATAAAGTCAGAATTGCGTGATATAAAGTCGAAATTGCGAGATATAAAGTCAGAATTGATTGATATAAAGTCAGAATTGCGAGATATAAAGTCAGAATTGCGTGATATAAAGTCAGAATTGATTGATATAACGTCGCAATTGCAGGTTATAAAGTCAGAATTGATTGATATAAAGTCAGAATTGCGTGATATAAAGTCGAAATTGCGAGATATAAAGTCAGAATTGATTGATATAAAGTCAAAATTGATTTATAAAAAGTCAGAATTGCGAGATATAAAGTCAGAATTGCGTGATATAAAGTCAGAATTGATTGATATAAAGTCAGAATTGATTGATATAAAGTCAGAATTGCGAGATATAAAGTCAGAATTGATTGATATAAAGTCCGAATTGCGTGATATAAAGTCAGAATTGATTGATATAAAGTCAGAATTGCGTGATATAAAGTCAGAATTGATTGATATAAAGTCAGAATTGATTGATATAAAGTCAGAATTGCGTGATATAAAGTCAGAATTGCGTGATATAAAGTCAGAATATATTATTTTATATATACACACTAAATATAATAATTACATTTTTTTCATCGTATAGGCTACTGGCTACACTCCTCATCAAAACCATGACCTTGCTGTTGTAAGCATGAAGGTCAACATATAACCTATGACAAGATTAACAACACCGATTCTAGAAATATCGATTCTTGACATGGAGTCAAAGGCAGGAGGGAATTCCTTTGAGTATCATGATGAGGAATATTTGTAAAGAAAGGAAGTGACTAAAGACTTATTTAATGTCATCTGCGATCTCATGTTATATCAGATCCATGCTAACAAATGTGAACTCATTCTGGATTCAGTGAGTAAGCACAAGTTAACATCATCATTACAGATATAATAGAGAAACTACAATTCCCAACAGATGCATGCTGGGGAATTCCACTATTCCACATCACAAACGCCCAGAGCTTCAAAAAATATGGAATTCCCCTTTATTAAAAAGAAAAGAAGTGGATACAAATGTAGTAAAGAACACCATATTCCACTACAAAATCGAGTGTTTATTATATGATAATATGAATAAAGACTGAAGTATTCATAAGTGTGACTTACATCGTGAGAAAAGCTGTTTAGCGACAACTTCTATCCCTAAATCATTCAGTTTACTACACGAGAGAATCAAAATAAAGAATGGTATTCCTAGACAAAGAGCCAAAGAGGCAATACTGAAAACTAAATGGATCATGTGATATCTGTACAACAAAACAACAAAATTATTGATGGCAAAGACAAAAGTAATGGAAAACAACATTCAGCTGGAACAAATGCCATGCTTCCCTCCACAGTAAATGTGCGCTTAGCTTATGTTGACTTGTGTGCTGTTTATGCCGACTCACTGAGATGGATCTGATATTGTCACTCTATAGCAATGATTAATATCGGGTAAGTCATTATTTACAAATAAATCAAATGACAACATGTAGACATGATCATAAGAAATAGATGCTAATGCAAAAATAATTGCGTCTGTCATCCTTCCACATTTCCCACATCACCGATAATCGTCACCATCTTTCTCCCGCCTTGCGATGGGCCCGGGGACCAGATATCGTCCATGATGATATACCTGAAATTAATATTTGCATGTGTCAGTTTAACCATTGATAAAATCACAGCGGAATATTCAAATCTGCGTTTGCCACTGATCCAGAGAAAGCAGTTTCAAATAACGATTGTATCGATTACACTGTCACACCACTAGGTGGCGACAAGCGACTGTTAAAAATGCGTTCGTCATTGAATCAATCATTCAATAGATTTGTTAAAAATCACTGATTCATCCAGTAATGAATCGAGTGCAGTATTATGAGTGAGTCATTGAATCACTCATTCATTCAAACCGACTTAAAAAAATTTAATTAAACATTTTTAAATAGACGGAAGCAATTAACATTTTGTCAGAACCTATAGTAAATTACATGATATTTTGTTTCGTTTGTGTGTTCAGAATCATGAAACCAAAAAATGCTGGTTCTCAATTTATCCGGAATTATGCGGCTCAGCCTGTATTTCTTATTAAAAAATATATTCAACATCAAAAACACATTTTCAGTTGATATATTTGCTTTACTATGAATCGTCTACATTTTGCATGTGTCTACACATTCTTGGCTATTATGAATTCTAAATATAGATATACCCACAAGTAAATTCAGAAGAGATTTTAGGATAACATCCTGCCATAGTCAATGTTTTTTCACATTAGGCTATGAATCAATATTCATATTTAAATAACCCATATTGCTTTGGTTTTTGCACATTTCCTGAAAAGGAAAATATCAGGAAAATTAAAGATACTTCTCATTTTTGGTAATCACCCTATTGTGGTAAAAATCCATTCACTCCGTTTGATATTTCCCCCATAAATCTAAAACAGGAATGTGCTCCAATGTGACGTCACTGGAACAGTATTCTTGCATTCTTATTAAAGCTTCTAAAGTTATCCAATCAAGAGCAGATAGTGAGTGATTTTCTGTTTTTCTTTAGTAAGTGCTTTTATTATATCACAGTGCTTTCACTTTAATGCACAGATCTCATTTATAACTGACTGTTTATGTGAACTTTGTGTGTTTTTGACATAACCTTGTTTAATTTTTATTTTTATTTAATACTCATATGACGCTTTGTCCGGCAGAGTTTCCGTGGCACGAGCTGTAAAGGCACAGTAATATTCTGAAGCAGCTCATTTGCATTTAAAGATACACATGCATGAAAACAGCATGTTTTTGCTTCAACTCAAAAATGGCCATTTACAACATAGTGGGGCCTATAATTAGTGCTGTCGATTAATCGCAATTAATAACATCTAACATAAAAATTTGTTTACATAATATGTGTGTATATGTATTATTATATTTATATGTGTGTGTAATACTGTACACACACACACACACACACACACACACACACACACACACACACACACATATTTATACATATAAATATCTGATTTGATTTGATTTGATTTGACAAAACCAGGCATAATAAATTATCTGTGGAGTATTTTGAGCTGAAACTTTACAGACACATTCTGGGGACACCTGAGACTTATATTAGGCTACATCTTGTAAGGAAAAAGTATTGTTCATTTGGATGGCACACAGTGCGCTCACAGCAGAGAGCTCTCAGGGAACAAAACACAGACACATACGCAGTAACGGAGACAACACATGACACACACACACACACACACACACACTGGAAACGCAACATAGAGCAACGTATACACCTGGAACTCGGCACCCAGAGGCATGTCACAACCAAGTGTGAGAAACACCAACACCTCTCTCCTGCAAAGTTTGTAACCTATGCACTGGCACACAGCCCAGCTGCACAAATCACTTCACCGCTATGGGAACACAATGTGTGTGTGTGTGTGTGTGTGTGTGTGTGTGTGGAGGCAGAGCCGCGCTTAAACCCGCCCTCGAGAGAGATCTCATTTCCCCTAAAACCTCCCATTTTTCCTCCGCCGATGATCTGTCTCGCCTGTACCTCTATCCTGCTCCACTAGCCCGGTCATGGAGCTCGCAGCGAGGTGTGTGTTCCTGCTCTCCAGCTTCGCCGCGCTCGCAGCGCTCGATCTGGACGCGATTGAGCCCGGCTTCTATGTGGAGACCAGCAGCCCATCAGATGTGATCGACTATAAAGATCCCTGCAAAGCTGGTGAGCACGAAAGACATTTGTTTACACTGCTTTGATAGATGCAAGCTTTCGCGCGAGCCACGTAATGCTGCTTTGAGACTGTGCGAACTATAAACTGTAGATGACAGCGGAGCCGCGCAAAATAAACACGCGATCCACGGCGTCACTAAACACTCACATACTTTGCGCAAAGTGTACTTGTTGTTGACACAACGGTGTCTGAAAGATTACGCGATGTTTTGACATCCAACACGAAACTTTACCTGGAGGTGTTTTCTTTTGTCAGATCACAGCCGAAAAGTTTTTCCTTCGTTTTTTGGGGGTTTGTTTACAAGAAATTTCGAGCAAGTTTGAATTTGCGCACGGTTGAAATTCAACATTGACATTGTGTAAATGTTAATACAAGTGCAATTACAATAAAAGTAAAAAAGTATTTGCGAAACTTCTCATTGTGATTGGGATTTTGGGATGGTTTGCAACAAAGTTGTAGATTGGGTTGCTATAGCTATCTTTATATATCTATATTTATTATTCCCGAGATAGTGTTCTCCGTTTTAGCGTTGGAACATCCCCCCCTTTGCCATGTCACTCTGTTGAATGATGTAGTGACCGGCCGGCTAGATTTTCCTGCACAAGGTGAACTACGTCATCAATCACAATAGTTGCCTTATGACGTAGGGGATCTATTTTTTCCCATTGCTACCACTAAACTAAGAGTTAATACTGCATACCTTTTTAAATATGTGAAACTGAGTAGTATTCTACATTGCTGTCACATGACCTTATTGCATGCCTGTTTAATTTAGTAAGTGGCACCCTGTTGACATAAATCTGGTTATAATATGTTGCATTTGTAAATATGAAAAAAAAATGGTACTAATGATTTGAGGTAAATAAATGTAAAAATCATGGTTCATTTGTTACACAACTGAAAATAATATGCACACATACACTGCAAATATAGTAAGTGCAGTATAGCTGTAGGCTACGACATCTTGCACGCAACCAAAGTTATAAAAAGTGCTTTCCCTGAATGTCCCCAATTTCATGGCTAGACCAGACTTGTACCGTATACCCACATATTCCTGAGGATAACTTTATCTTGACCTAAAATCAACCAATTATATGTGATATAATTACGGTTTAGTAGCTCTAGGGAAGTAATTAATTCTTTGGGTCCCAAGAGAAGCAATGGCTATTTTCACATGTCGTGTTGTCAGGGCAAGTGCCCTTATTTTGTTGTTGGAGGTTATTGAGTTTCACAGCTGAAAATGTTTACTAGGAGGGAATGGCCCCAAGAACGGCAGGGCAAAACTTTCAGCATCTGACTAGTGCTTGAAATTTCTCTGGATTCTTAAAGGTGCCTCCCTCAACTTTATGTTTAGGCGACAAGTGTTCTTTTTTTTTTAGGGTAAAGTACTTTCTCCAATCCCAGATTAATATTAAGGGACCGCTTTAAGTAATCCATTGCTTGGTTGATTTCTCTTAAAGGATTAGTTCACCCAAAAATCGTTCATCTTCGAAACACAAATGGAGATCTTTTTAAGGAAATCTGAGATATTTCTGTCCCTCCATTGACAGCTGCGCAACTACCACTTTGACGCTTGGCAATCGCTTTCTAGGATGAACAGATTTAATTTCGGCTTTTATTCACATATTCATTAGCTCACACATCAGTTGTGGTAAACGGAAGCTCAAGCATGTTCGCTTGACGTGTGAGAACCAATGAGGTTTGTTCTTGCGAGTCAAGCGGGTTCGGTTGAGCTTCTGTTTATGTTCGCCAATCAATGTTAATATGTGAATAAAAGCCTAAATTCAATCTGTTCATCATATAAAGCGACCGAGTCTCTTCAGGAAATTTGAACTAAACTGCTCAATTCAAAAGGATTAGTTTTACGATCTCTCAGAGGTACAGAAATCTCTCAGATTTCATCAAAAAGATCTTCATTTGTGTTCCGAAGATGAACGAAAGTCTTAAGGGTTTGGAATTTTTGTGTGAACTAACCCTTTAAAAGTGTAGATAAACACTGTGACTCTGTGGTGCTATAAAACATTGCTGTTTGTTTGAGCGCCCTGACCCTCAACAGAGCAAAAGTGGCTCAACCAATGGTTGAGATTGGGGCGGCATTATCTCTTTAGCCAACCAATGACAGACGAGGAGGGTTTTCTGAGAAACCAGTTTGTTTTTGCTCTTCTGTGACAGTAGAATTTGAGAACTGTGATCAATAACTAAACATTTTAGGTGCTTGTCTGTCCATACAGGTTTGGATTGGAACAACATGAGAGCGAGGAAATGATCATTTTCATTTATAGGGTGAACTATCACTTTAAGAGAACAACTGATCTGCTATGAAATTGAGGAACAGAACTTTAATTTAGCTTTAGGTTTCTACAGAACATTGACTGTAATCTTCAGCTTGTGGTGGGATGTTGTGGATTTCCTTTGTTTTTCCACCTGCAGGATGACATCTCACTGGTTTGTGAGTGGATGGATTGAATCCAGGTTTCTTAAAGCTCACACAGGGGTCACTCCGGAGACGTGTAAAACCTCAGAGATCTTGGTCTCTATTAACTTGTCTGCTACTCCTCTCCACCTCCTTCCTAACTCCCTCTCTTTCATCTTCCTCTTTTTCACTCTTTCAGGCCTAGCTTTTTTTCCTTGTCCTCATTTGCAGCTGAATGGGGTGCTTGGCTGTTCATTTTTACATTTTCACCCCTCTGAGAGACAGACGAGTGGCTATAGGACAATAACGCAGCCCACCAGCTGAAATTGGTATTCCAGGCAGATTAGGCTGGTTGACCCGCAAAGGCTCAGGGGGCCGTCGATCTCATACTAGGATTAACTTCCCAGATTGTTCTGTCACTCTGTGATTCAGGCTCTCCAGCGACGTTAAGCCAAAGCCATTCTGTTTTGGTGTGTGGCTCCTCGCTATCGCATTTCATGCATCATTCGAGTTAGCTTAGCTAAGAGAAGTGGCTATATTTTGGCTTTCTCTACATGTTTGTGTTTGTTTGTTCGGTACATGAGCTTTTCGTAAAAAGGAAGCCATGTATTTACACTGGATGTCGTGAGTCAGAGTTCAGTGGCCGTTATGACGCGATGCACCGATTATCCGTTCATTCACAGCTGTTCATCTCCTTTTTTTATAAACATGTTTTCGCAATTTTATAGTTTGGTCATCACAATCTCCGAACAAACAGATTTCGCAAGGCCAGTGTGGAAGTGATGCCCTTAATTTTTGTCTGTGAAACTTCCTCAGAACATTGGTTTTCGCTGGTCTGTATAGAGTATTGGCCAATCTTTCATTACACCTAATACCTTAACTATGATGTCAATACCCATAGTGCCTTGCTCTCGGACCTGATTGGACTGTTGTAAACATGTCTATAACCTTAGAGAGCGCTCGCCTTTCTAAACAACACACCCTTCGTCCCGCTCAGATCTGAGTGGTAGAGGAGGACGGGGTTTGGGATTGGTTCTGGATGGAACCCAAACGGCCCAGCTGTAGCAGAGATTATGTGAGACGAGAGGTCTGCGTTTACGAGAGAGGAGTAGGAACACAGATGTAAAGTGCCTTGTTTACACTTCATCCAAAGAGAACGTTCATGGTAGAACATTCATGACGCTAAAACTCGCCACATATCTGACCTGAATTACATAACATTACTTACATTCACACCACCGAAATGTTATTCGTTTATAAATCTGTTTTTTAAGGGAAATATTCAAATGAATTGATTGCAAATATTTAGGGCATAGTAAAAATATTAAATGATCACCCTCAATTCATTTAAACATGTTTGACTTTCTTCTGTGGAACACAAGAGAAGATATTTTGAAGAACACAATGAAAGTCAACGGGGTCCAAAACAACGAGGCCTTTTTCAAAAATGTTCTTCTTTTGATGTTCCACTGAAGAAAGTCAAACCGATTTGGAACATGCAGGGTGAGTAACAGATTTGACTTTTTTCGGTAAACTATCCAAATACAAATGTTTTTTCGCTTGCTGTTATATCTCACGCACAGTCTAGCATTGAAGTCTTCAAAATATTCTCAAAATCATGAGCCCATCTGGATGTGTTCCACTTATGATGATTCACCAGACCTTTCGAGTGCAATAACAAAATTGTGTCGTCTTTACACTGGAGTCGTACAATCATGAGTACCTTCTGACCTCCTCCGATATCAATGGTTGTTGTTTCCACATTTGTCTTCTGTTATTTTCATTTGCGTTGTACATTTTCCACTAGATTTTGAAAGCTGTGAGTGTTGCCACCTAGTGGACCCACGAATTGGTGCAATGAAAAAATTAAGTGCACTTTCCGCTTTAAAGTCAGCATGAAATAGCATGAAATCTATTTTCTAAATGCGTGTTATATCGTGAACATTAATTCGTGTCAATATTTTTAAAATGTCAAAACTGGACGTTCCCTTGAAAACGACAGACCTTTCTCTGGTTGCGAACGCAGGATTCTCCAATCATTTAATCTGCTTAAACCCGCCGCTTCAAGCTTACCTGCTTTCACTTGTATCCACTTTGAGTGCCACAGCTGCATCTCAACATCCAATCAAAAACTGATGCACAGAACCAAGTCCCCGCCCTACACTTTCTCCTTGTCGATATTCCATTTCGATTGAACGTGCATCACTATATGGAAAAAAAGATCTGTTGCTACTCTTGTGTCATGGCGACTTTTACACTCACTGTGAGGCAAGATCGTCATGTATAATGACTTAAATTTAGGCCTTTTCCTCACATATTTTTTTTATAGGACTTAAAGGTTTAGTTTACCCAAAAATGATAATTCTGACATCATTTTCTTATCCTCTTGTTGTTCCAAACCCCGTAAGACTTTCGTTCATCTTCGAAACACAATCCAAATGAATTGAGCGGTTTAGTTCAAATTTTCTGAAGAGACTCGATCGCTTTATATGATGAACAGATTGAATTTAGGCTTTTATTCGCATATTAACATTGACCAGTGAACATATACAGAAGCTCAACCGAACCCGCTTGACT